ATCAGTCCTTAGCAGGTTGAACATCGGTCCTAAGTTGCTTGATCATCTGATCAATCCATAATAGGTTTATCATCAGTTGATAATAGGTTGATCATCAGTCTATAATAGGTTGATCATCAATCCATAATAGGTTGATCATCAATCCATAATAGCTAGAACAAAAGTCTGTAATAAGTTGATCATCAGTCGATAATAGGTAGATCATCAGTCTATAATTGTTTGATCATCAGTCTATAATTGTTTGGTCATCAGTCTATAACAGGTTGATCATCAGTCTATAACAGGTTGATCATCTGTCTATAACAGGTAGATCATCAGTCTATAATAGGTAGATCATCAGTCTATAATAGGTAGATCATCTGTCTATAATAGGTAGATCATCAGTCTATAACAGGTAGATCATCAGTCTATAACAGGTAGATCATCAGTCTATAATAGGTAGATCATCTGTCTATAATTGTTTGATCATCAGTCTATAACAGGTTGATCATCAGTCTATAATAGGTAGATCATCTGTCTATAATTTTTTGATCATCAGTCTATAACAGGTAGATCATCAGTCTATAATGGGTTGATCATCTGTCTATAATTGTTTGATCATCAGTCTATAACAGGTTGATTATCAGTCTATAACAGGTAGATCATCAGTCTATAATAGGTAGATCATCTGTCTATAATTGTTTGATCATCAGTCCTGAGTGTATTTTTGAGATTTTTAGTCTGATTGTTGCATCCAACCACAGCCTAGTGTCTTCCGCTATACTTTCAAAGTTGACCACAGTCATCCAGGTGTAAGACATTGTCTGAGGACAGCCTCCAACACGTGCCTGGCGTTCAGGATGTAGGTATATGAGTAGAACAGTATTGTGCCCCATCCTCCCATGTGACTGCTTGTCTGGTGATTGTGATGTATCCCTGATCAGTCTCCAAACATAGCCAGGCTGATCGCCTACAGTCCTGCAGCCTCCACACAGGACCTCAGCACAGCCATCTCCGGGAGGGAGGGGGCTACAGCATGCCTGTGCTGTGACTTGAAGTTGAACGAGAGGCTGATCACAGGCACGACAGAGGGGCAACTGGTGATCACATGACCTGATCACATGACCCAATCAGTTCTGAAACCATATGAATTTGATCTACATCCTTGTGTGAGTGTGTGTGTGTGTGTGTGTGTGTGGAGAATTGGGGCAGATGGGAAGAGGCAGAGATTAGGACAGGCTCTTTAGGATGCTGGTGTGCTGGGATGGGGTGACCATGATTTCGTCATAAAGGGGGAGAGGGGAGGAGATTCTTGTTTTGCAAGTTTTGGGTGTAGATTTTTAATACAAACGCTGATGGAAAAGTAAAAGTTTTCAAACTTTTAACCTACTGACAGGCTTATGTCATTAAGAATATGTTATGGTGGATGTTAGGTTGGACAGCATTTTCAACTTGCCCTGTAGAGTAAAAAGATATTGGAGTGGTGGTAATTCCTCAAGAATGGCATATAAACAAATAAAATCCTCCAGTGTCCTGAGTCAATTTTGTTGGCATGTAATCCTTGATATGTGAGTGACAGAGTCTATTGTCTCTGCACATGGTATTTGGGACAGAAGAGTTCTGACAGTGCACAATTTTCACTGTCTCACTGTGCTTTTTTTGACACTGTCTCACATCAGCTGAAGGTGTCTTGTTACCATGACGGCTTACACATGGACACAAGTTAATGTTCCAATGATCTATTGTGATCAATTATTGATTGGTTACCCTGTACCGATGTAATGATTGATTGGGCTTGTTTATAATCAATTGTAGAGAGAAATGATGTTCATGCACATTGATTATTACCAAAAATCAATACTGAAATTCAATACTGGTCCATAACACTGGTCACAGCTTAAGTGATTGATACAAAAATCAAATAATTGATAAATAAATCACTTGATAATCAATAAAAAACAACCTTTAAATTATGGGTTAACTTTTGTGTTGTAACTTCAACAGACAGGATTATCAGATAGTTTGAAATGCATTGTGAAGTCAGTCAACATGTGAACCAGTGACCCATGTGAACGTGTAACATATCTGTTTTATACTCAAACTAAATTTATGGCAGATATCTTCGATATCGATCATTCTATTAAGTTAAGAAAAGTTGTAAGAAAAGTTTTCGGGGGAATAGTTTTTATGTACACTAAGTACTAGGGATGGGTATTGGAGGTTTAAAGTGTATCACAATATTGTGCAATGCAGAAAGCCTTACTGCGATACACATCACGATATATTGTATAATTCTAAATTTTTAATTCAGAAGCTATCTGATACATTAAGGTATGAACTGAAGTTCACAAATGGAACAAAACAAGATGCTGGTACAACGTAATGTTTACTCATTCAATAAATAGGCAGCCATCTTGGGCCCCCGGATGCTCGCTCCTGGGCAGCGAAGACATTTAGCAAGTATATAACATTAGGCTCATGATACAAATCCCAACTTGAAATCATTCGATATATCGAGCATGGAAAAATGATATTGTGATAAGTTGCGTGGAAAGAATGAACCTCAATTTACCGATATACTGGTAGTACCTCTAACCTTTGAATACTGCAAGTGCTGTAATTTGAATTGAATGTATCACATACGCCATAAGGCTAATATATCTCTGGAATGATCCTTTGCCCTGAACCCAACTCAATGAAGACACTCTAGTTTGTTTTTATCCCCCGCCGCGCGTTAGCGCGAAGCGGGGGATATAGTATTCACGACCGTCCGTACGTCCGTCCGTACGTCTGTCCGTACGTCCCACCTGTTTGTTGCCGAGATATCTCAAGAACTAAACACTGGATTGTCTTCATATTTGGAACTATGGTGTATATACAGACTCTGCAGACACCAGTCGGTTTTGGTGACCTTGATCCCATTTTCAAGGTCACAGCAGACAAATTTGCTTATAGAGTTGGAAAACGGTGTTGCCGCGATATCTCAAGAACTAAACACTGGATTGTCTTCATATTTGGAACTATGGTGTATATACAGACTCCGCAGACACCAGTCGGTTTTGGTGACCTTGATCCCATTTCCAAGGTCACAGCAGACAAATCTGCTTTTAGAGTTGGAAAATGGTGTTGCCGCAATATCTCAAGAACTAAACACTGGATTGTCTTCATATTTGGAACTATGGTGTATATACAGACTCCGCAGACACCAGTCGGTTTTGGTGACCTTGATCCCATTTTCAAGGTCACAGCAGGCAAATCTGCTTTTGGAGTTGGAAAACGGTGTTGCCGCGATATCTCAAGAACTAAACACTAGATTGTCTTCATATTTGGAACTATGGTGTATATACAGACACTGCAGACACCAGTCGGTTTTGGTGACCTTCACCCCATTGTCAAGGTCACAGCAGGCAAATCTGCTTTTGGAGTTAGAAAACGGTGTTGCCGCGATATCTCAAGAACTAATCGCTGGATTGTCTTCATATTTGGAACTATAGTGTATATACAGACACCGCATACACCTGTCAGATTTGGTGACCTTGACCCCATTTTCAAGGTCACAGCAGGCAAATCTGTTTTTGGAGTTGGAAAACGGTGTTGCCACAATATCTCAAGAACTAATCGCTGGATTGTCTTCATTTTTGGTACTATGGTGTACAGGCGGGGGATATTTCGTCACTCTGTGACAAATACTTGTTGCTTTTGTGTTGATTTCACTCACTTTAATCTGATGCAGTTTTTGCAATTTTGGATAATATAACAGTAGCCATTAGAGCAATACTAGAGGAATGAACATTAAAAAAATCAGAAAAGTGTAATTTCATTATTTCTCTGAATGCCAACTTATGTGTTTACCCAGCCCCCCCCCCATCCCAAAATGTAAGACACACATGTTTCACCTGACGAACATGTCAATATTTCCAGAAAAAGTTTTGAAGAATGAATGTCCTTTTTAATATTTCAGACACTCCTATCTACCATGTTTTTCACAAATAATCCTAAACCAAGACAGAAAAGCAGGTCCTAACATGCTTAAGGTGTAAGAACTATATGTATCCAACTTCCTGACAGAACCTAGTGATTTATGCTGACCTTGACAATTTTATTGATTTAACAAACAAAAATATTTGTAATGCAGAAACAGGTCAGAAGAACATTGTTACCTGCCCCTATTAAACACAGTTAGCTCGGGAGTTCTAGAGTCATAATAGCAGCCTGATACCCATTTTTTCAACATCTCTAGAGGCCAGCGGCCCAATACCCATAATTGGACTCTCCTATCCAGAGTTCATGCGGCCATCATAGTACCTCTGCCACAGGCCAGCGCCATGTGACAATTGATTCATCACATCTTACTCTGTTCCATTCAAGATATTGCATATGTTTTTCATCAGTTTCATTTCATCTAAGTCTACTCAAGTCTAGATAAGCATATGTCATAGAATGGTTAACTTTCATTGAGAAAATTTCCTAAAATGTGAAAAACTATTTTCTTTTGTGTAGTTATCCTTTGTTTACATTGGTTGTACGGCTTCACATGCTGACATTGAAGCCCTACGGTCACTTTGACGTATTAATATTTTTGTGTCATGCACCTCACTGTTGCAGTTGTAGTAGCATATCTATATAATTATGCAAAACAATATGTAAAGTCCCACAAAAGGCTTGCATTAAGCCAATGTCTTCTGTTTTTGGAATAAACACAATTGTTTACAAACAAGACAAACGTTCGGTCACGCGATAAGCAACTTAGCCTGTGCCAGTGGTCTACTGCTAAGTCACCACTGCCCCTGTGTGTGACATTATCATTACTACAGACTTTGAGCCATTGTGGCCATCAAATCACCATTTTTGTATTAGCTAAGTTAAGTTGTTCTGGATCCCAGGGAGACACCGTCAGCTGACCAGAAAGAAGTCTTTGTCCATAGTGAGGAGTTTTTGTTTGCATTGAGTAAAGAGTATTTGAGCGAGATAGAAAACATACCTGGTATGGTGTGTTTTCATATTGTTATTTTTTGTTGCAGAAAGATCTTGACACGACTGCCACAGAACTCGCCAATCGCCAAGATGAAAGTGACATCTCCAGAAAACGTCTGGTGGAACAAAGTAGAGAATTTAAGAAAAACACACCTGAGGTAAGCCGACTTTTACATCCAGCCATTGCTTGCCATTGTTGATTAGAATTGGAAGATAGTGGGTCTGTTGTATACTCTTGTTTGCCATTGCTAATTAGAATTGAAAAGGAAGATAGACATGGTTACTGTTTTCTGTTGTTTTTCATTGTTGATTAGCACTGAAAGATTGACAAATATGATGAGTGAGTGACTTGGATTTTATGCCGCTTTGAACAGTATTCCAGTTATATCATGGCGTGTCAGATTAATGTGTCAGATTAATGTGGGAGGAAAGCCAGGAGTGATGTAGGTCTCTTACGTTTACCACTTGGAGAAACCGACATGTTCAGGTATGGTGCTGACAAACCTAGAAACAACTCGGCAAACCGGGATCCAAACCAAAATGCAAATCTGCACAGCGAAATGCAGTACCTTTGACAGCTGGGCCACCTGTGCCCATACGTATGTATGAATGAGTGATTTAAGAATATTATGTTGTTGATTGTTGTTGGTTTGTTGTTAAACGCCGCACTCAGCAATATTCCAGCTATATGACAGCGGTCTGTAAATAATCGAGTCTGGACCAGACAGTCCAGTGATTAATATCATGAGCATCGATCCACGCAATTGGGATCGATGACATGCATCAACCAAGTCAGCGAGCCTGACCACCCGATCCTGTTAGTCGCCTTTTACGACAAGCATAGTCACCTTTTACGGCAAGCATGGGTTGCTGAAGACCTATTATACCCCGGAATCTTCATGGGTCAAGAATATAATGCAACTAGTAGAGGTGCGTGGTATTACCAGAATAACCAGTATACCTTGATTTGAAATATGAATTCCAATACGTTTGGGAAATACCGGTATATTGAGTTTATCAAATTCATGCATATTTCATCTTGATGGTAAAGTTTACATAAATGACAAGTTGAATTATGTAATTAAAAAAATGGCAACTGATTCCTGTGATAGAAAAAGTGAATCTATTTACAAAAAGCACCCTGTTTATAATGGGCCTATTACGCAAGCATTGTGACGGTAGCAACATGGCAGATGACTTGGAAATTGTCAAAAATATACGAGGAAGTGTGATGTATGGGTCTTTGTCAAGTCATTTGGGTTATTGTATTTGGGTCCTATCAAATTACAGATGAAAGACCACATGCAGTGTTTTGTGGTACATATCGCCATACATGAAGTATACACAAGTAAATGGGCGTGCTTCTGTATTACATCCGTCGTAACAGCGTTACAACTTGGCACTAGTCCTTTAGTCCTTTCCAGACTGTCCAATAGTTAAGGTATCATAAGGACGGGTAGAAATTTGCACTTTTGAAGGGTTTTGCTGTGTGTTATCATTCATCTTCCCAAAGCAAGGGAGTTAACTGTCCATAAAAGTCCAGTTTCCACCCTTGCCGCATTAGGCCGGAATTTCTGGGTTCGATCGTAGCGCCCCCAGTGGCTATTGTGAGTTATGTCCCTTGTATGTCCCTCCTATTGACCAATCAGATTCCACCTCTCATATCACTTGCATTTGTTTCAAACAAAATGGTGATGCACTGTCAAGACGGTCTGCACAATAATCAAAAAAAAATATTGTAATAAAACGGGCTTTACTTTGCGAAGAGCACGAAACCACATGAGCACCTTGACTAAAAACATGAAAAGATTTGGAAAATATTTGTTGATGCTAAGTTGACGGTTCACATGCTTTGCAAATCCTGCATTCAACTGAAATCTGCACGGCAGTTTACGAACCGGATGTTGATTTCGTTACGGGATTTTGTCTTGTCTCGTTAGTCCATCCAAAACATAACTCCGTATTTGCAGCCTAGTTCGGCATGGGTGGAAACTGGACTTTTATAGTCAGTTAAATCTCTTGCCTCAGAAAGATGGTTATCATTTTAAAGACTAGTGGATTAAAACATGTTAGTTTCTATTGCTGAATGAGATGGTAAAACTTAAATAATATTTGGTATCTGGAAGCACAACCTTTGAGGAGTTCGTTTTATCAGCATGCACCTGCACACTCTTGTACTCCCACACCTACAGAAGGGGGATTTCATAATCTTCCTTTCTAAATACACATGTTGACTTTTACAAATTTGAACAGATGGAGTCATACTTTGATATTGTTTTGTTAATAGGAAGGTTCCATAGGTACTTGTCCTGCATTATATTTCGGGGTGGGGGGTTGGCAGTTTTCCAGGGGGAGGGGTTTGATTGACATAAATGCTAGCTCCACTGAACACCTGAAAGTTAAATATATGGGCATTTTATCAATTATTATTATTATTATTATCATTATCATTATCATCATCATTATTATTATAATTATAATTATTATTATTATTATTATTTAGGGACCCCCTAAATCGTTTACAACATGGTTATGACAAGCAACCCTCGACTTTTGTGCAAAAAAAGATATGGGAGCTGATCAAAGAACTTGGGTTGGTTTCGTAACATGTCGTCACATTATTGAATCTTATCACCAGAACACCGCAAGTGCCAAACCCTTCCAGCTGTGAGGTTTACAAACTTCTTATAAATTCATTATCAATAAGTCCCTTCCATGTACTGACATGTGTAATCTTGGTTCAAATTTTGCAGTTGTGTGTCTGTAGTATGCACATTTGTTGTGGGGGTGAGTTTTAGCAGCTGATGGCCCACTTAGAACCTCCACTCCCTCTCCTGAAGGCCAAGTTTTAGCTTATTGAAATTATCTCCAAGTATCCAAAATAGGTGAGATGGCCTGTGATAAGGGAGGTCGTGCTGGCGACTTTTTCAAATACAACATGAGTTCAAATATATATTTTGGTAATCAGGAGGTTGGGCTCCAGGTGAGATGGTCCCACACTGGCTTCTTTCTGCTCACCGATAATGATCTACTGTTGTCTGATGGTCGATCTGTCAGTGCATTGAATATAGGGTCACTATAAGGCTTTTAAACACTGAGATGCAAAAGGCGTCACATCCAACATAATGTTCTTGACACCCCTTGTCTTTGACCCCTTGCATGGAGGTGTCTTGCAGTTCTCAGAGGTTGATAGCCTAGTTCTGCATTAAATGTTTGTGAAAATTACCAAATTTTGGTTAAATTACCAGATTTCAGTTAAACATATGCCATTCTCAGGCTATCATAATTTTAACTTCATATTTTATGGTTTTGCATGTGACTTGGTTGGACATTAACGCTGTGTCAGAATACTCAGAGTGTAAGAATATATGAACCTTACGAAATTCCCAGTTTTGCCTGCAATTGGCACCTAGTTGAAAATCCTGAATAAATGTCTGTCTTTTCTACCTCCCACTTGTCTACCACCGCATGTCTACTACCATCTACCACCCCTTCGTCAACTGTCCCTGTATCGACCCTCCTGTGTCAACCGCCCACTTATCTAACTCCTCCATGTCTACTGATGCCGTATCTACCGCCCCCTTATCTACTGATCTTTTCCACCCCCTTGTCTACCAACCCATGTCTACCTCCCCGTCTACCGCCCCGTCTATCACCACCTCATCTCCACCTCTTTGTCTTCAACCTCCTGGTCATCCAGCTTCTTGCCAACCGCCCCCTGTCTACCACACCTTATCTCCACCTCTTTGTCTTCCACCTCCTGGTCTACCAGCCCCTTGCCAACCGCCCCCTGTCTACCACACCTTATCTCCACCTCTTTGTCTTCCACCTCCTGGTCTACCAGCCCCTTGCCAACCGCCCCCTGTCTACCACACCTTATCTCCACCTCTTTGTCTTCCACCTCCTGGTTTACCAGCCCCTTGCCAACCGCCCCCTATCTACCACACCTTATCTCCACCTCTTTGTCTTCCACCTCCTGGTCTACCAGCCCCTTGCCAACCGCCCCCTGTCTACCACACCTTATCTCCACCTCTTTGTCTTCCACCTCCTCGTCTACCAGCCCCTTGCCAACCGCCCCGTCTACCACACCTTATCTCCACCTCTTTGTCTTCCACCTCCTGGTCTACCAGCCCCTTGCCAACCGCCCCCTATCTACCACACCTTATCTCCACCTCTTTGTCTTCCACCTCCTGGTCTACCAGCCCCTTGCCAACCGCCCCCTGTCTACCACACCTTATCTCCACCTCTTTGTCTTCCACCTCCTGGTCATCCAGCCCCTTGCCAACCGCCCCCTGTCTACCACACCTTATCTCCACCTCTTTGTCTTCAACCTCCTGGTCATCCAGCCCCTTGCCAACTGCCCCCTGTCTACCACACCTTATCTCCACCTCTTTGTCTTCAACCTCCTGGTCTACCAGCCCCTTGCCAACCGCTCGCTTGTCTACCATACCTTATCTCTACCTTATATCTACTACCCCATATCTTCCAAACTTTCCTACCATCAATCTTGTCTGCCATCACTTTGTCTATGTCCGCTTTTCTACCACCCCCTTGTCAACCACCTCTTTATGTATTTCTACCAGGGCAATATCTACCACCCTTTGTCTACCCCAACCTAATCCATCATCCCCTAACTATGAGACTCGGGTTGTCACATTGCTTGACCAGGTCAGCACAGGTCATCTTGTAGCGATGGAGCCGATCGCTGCTCCTGCTGTCAACCACTGACTGCCCTGTCCCAGACAGGATTATTTACCAACCGCAGTGATGTAGCTGGAATATAGCTGTAAAACAACAAACACCACTTAGGTAGGAAATGTCCGTGGAGGTGCTTGCTGTGACGCCAGGTGACAGGGTCCAGGTGACCAGGTCCAGGTGACCGGGTCCAGGTGACCAGGTCCAGGTGACTGGGTCTTGATCTTGCTCTGTCTGACTTGGTGTGTGAGTGAGCAGATGTGCTGTGTGGTTGAGCAGACAAACACTGCATATCATTTCTTTATTCCTGTCAGTGATACAGCATATTTAAATTTCACTCGTTCAATCACACTGGCTTCAGACTATTTGTCTTTCTCAAATGATATTCTGTCCTGCTTAACATTATAGTGATACACTATCCTATATGCTCTGATATTCTTTTGTACATATCCTGATTTTGATC